TGTGTGTGTGATGTATGTGTGTGTGTATGTGATGTGTGTGTATGTGTGTGATGTATGTGTGTATGTGATGTGTGTGTATGTGTGTGATGTATGTGTATATGTGATGTGTGCGTGTGTGTGTGATGTATGTGTATATGTGATGTGTGTATGTGTGTGATGTATGTGTATATGTGATGTGTGTGTGTGATGTATGTGTGTGTGTATGTGATGTGTGTGTATGTGTGTGATGTATGTGTGTATGTGATGTGTGTGTATGTGTGTGATGTATGTGTATATGTGATGTGTGTGTGTGTGTGTGATGTATGTGTATATGTGATGTGTGTGTATGTGTGTGATGTATGTGTGTATGTGATGTGTGTGTATGTGTGTGATGTATGTGTATATGTGATGTGTGTGTGTGTGTCCACCACACTCACTTGCGTATCTGGTTGTGTAACTGCTCTACGCAGCGCCACTGGCGGATGCAGTTCAGGCAGTATGTGTGTGCGCAGCTGGACAGGATGCCGAAGCGCCGCTCAGACGGAGAGGATTTCTCGTACACCACATCCAGACAGATCTTACACACCTTATCCTGACTCTGCTGCACTGCGAACGCTCGCTCCATGTCCATCTCAAACGCCACCATACACTTCTGCAAACACACACACAAACACACACACACGCGCGCGCATTTATATCTGAGTGTAAATGCAGCCTAAGTGCCCTTGATAGTGTGCACAGTTGAATGGTATTCCTCCAACACCGTGCAGCAGTAATGCTCACCTTCTCGTGCGCTGCTCTCTGCTCGGGGTCGTGTGGATGCAGCACATGCTGTCTGCAGATCTCACACATCTCCCCATGCAGATACGGACAGCTTTCTCCATACTGGCACTGCCCTGCGGCCAGGAACGGGCAGATCTGCGGCGACGTCTGCTGGAGCTCTGGAAACGTCCCAGCGGTGGCAGCGGCGGCGGCGGAGGCGTCCAGGCCAGAGCGGATGGCCTCCAGATACGAGTGCGGCTTCTGAGCGCCGTCGTCTCGCTGCTCCCAGCATTCACTGAGCTCTGAACTCTCCGCACTGAACACACGAGGTCTGCTGTCTGAGCACAGAGCTGGGGAAACACATGGCTGTCTGGAATACTTGATTCTGATTGGTCAGTCGCGACATTACAAGGTCTAATAACACACACTAAATAACACACACTCATCCGAGAACTGAGAATCACCTTGACCATCAGTCAATACACACATCCACATTCATATGTCTCCGCTGTTCTGCCACACTGCGCTTTATAACAGTTTGGCGCCATCTAGTGTCTGAATAATGTGCAGGGTGGTGTTCTCATTTCTGTCACCTCTATATTTAATTAAAGAATAAACTATTACAGCTCAAAACAATCTTTAGTGTGTAATTGTTAAACGTTTTAAATGTATTAATCAAATGTTTTGTGGCCAGCGTCTATATAATAAGCAGGATAAAGCACATCCAGTCGGTTGTTTTCTCAGAATAACCCCTTCAGTCTACTACAACAGAGCTGCGCTTCATATCGGGCTGCTGATAAACCTGTCAGGCTTTATTCTGAGATGACATCCTCCTGGAGCAGGTACTTCATCCCTATGATATAAAAGCTCCACATACCTTTGTCTCGAAGCACTAGTGGTTTTTTGAGGTGTTTGCTGGTGTTTGCCGGGGGTCCGGGGCCGGGTGCGGAGGCTCCTGCACTGCTGCTGCTTCTGTTACTGTGATCTGCTGGAGCTCCACTGCCACGACCAGGAGGTTTAATATGGTCATATCTGCCACAAACACACACAAAACTGCACTCACCACACACCCTAGAGTCTGGATAATGCGCTACATGCACAGCAAGTGTTCTCCATCCACCGATAAACTTCTGGTGAAGTATTAATGTGAATATTGCCAATTTTAATACGGCTCCTTTTACAGCATGGATGCTGTAATGTAATCAAAATATAATCAGTTGAATAGACTTCAGCAATATTTAGTATTTAGAAAGTAATATTTAATATTTTCAAGTGTAAAACAAGATGAAAAACTGTTTACACACAAGTGCCATCAGGATCAGCAGGCGAGCGCAGAAACTCCACTGAAAATACTGGAGTAAAATAACAGGCTAATAATTTAATAAAATAATTTAGGACATTTTTAAGACTATTATGATCAAACTTTTAGACTTATACAGGGCTAAATGCTGAGTTTTTTCTGAATATCCTAGTTCAAAAAGATTTTCACTTGCACTATCAAAAAAAAAAACTATTAAAATTTGAAATATTTAAGAACACAATAATAATAATAATAATAGTAATTTTGTTTGAATTTTTAAAATTAATTTTCAAATATATCCATTCACAAACCTGTAACCCTTACCAAGAAGAAAACAAAACATAGCTGTCAATTACTTCAGTCTACAATAATAATATTTAATAATAAAAAATACAGGTCAGGTTGGAATCCTCAGCAGTGAATTAATTGAGAATTTAAGCAAATGTTACAGTAAGCAATTATTCATTCATTCGTTTTCTTTTCAGCTTAGTCCCTATGGAAAGTAACTAATTAGATGCTATTTTTAAATAAAAAGTGAAAAGCTTTACTGAGATAGATTGTCGGTGATTGTATAGGCGTCAATGGCTATATTGGGGAGCTATACATGAACAAAGGAAAAAATAGACCCGTTATAAAAATATTTAAGACCTACAACACAACACTTCAGTGGATTTAAGACTTTTTAAGGCCTGAGTTGTATCTTTTGAGATGATATTTTAAGACCCTGAATAAATAAAAAGCGGAACAACGCAGATTAATGCAGTGCATCTTGCACATTCTGAGACTCACTTCATATCATTTATCAATAAAGCAGTGAAGATCAGTGATTTTTAAAGAAATCAGACCTTAAATGTGGTGAGTTTATAAAGGCAGGACAGTTCACAGGAAGCGCCTGAGCTGGCTTATGCAAAATTAAAAGCCCCCTGGAGGTACCCCATTCTTTCTTTTTAATGTCATGAGTTTACTATATAAGTGATTTAGCTGAGCACATCATTGTTTTGCTTAAATTAATTTGCCCTCATAACCAAAGTACCCTGAACACAAAAGAAGATATTTTGAAGAAAGCTGAAAACCACTGACCTCCACAGTAGGAGAAAATGAATACTATGGAAGTCAATGGTTACTGGTTTCCAGCGTATCACCAATATATATATATATATATATATATATATATATATATATATATATATATATATATATATATATATATATATATATATATATATATATATATATATATATATACCTTGACATGAAAATTTTTTTCGTTTTTACCAAAATACGAAAACCATTTCTGGGTTTTTTGTGTAAGGAAGTATTTTACAGTACTTTAAAAATACTCAAAAATGCATCTGTCAATGTTTTCAAACTATTCTATTTGATTTACCAAAGTCACACAAATGGTAATTTCACATGCGTCACATCCATAACAGAGAGATTTCACATCCATAACCACACTTTCTCCTCAGAAATGTGAAAATATTAAATAAAATAAAACCAAGCAATTTTGTTTTATAGAAAGCCGACTCTAATCCTTTTGATTAGCATTATTTATTTTGGGTTGTTGGCTTGCTGGATAAGTTGGCGGTTCATTCTGCTGTGGCAACCCGGGATTAATAAAGGGACTAAGCCGACAAGAAAATGAATGAATGATATATATATATATATATTTGTTATTTAACAGAAGAAAGATACATATACAGGTTCAAACAAGCACAACCGAGTAAATGATGACTGAGTTTTCAGTTTAGTGTGAACTAGCCCTGTAAGTTCATCCAGTATTAATAACCACACGCATATGTTCACATAACTGGAGGAGGTTTTCGTTTCTTAAGATCCATCAGGAGCTCCAGAAGGCAGATCTAGCTGATTATTGGAGCTATATTTGATCATGTTCGCAGTTTGACTGACCTGCATCTGTCTCCATAAGCACACGCTCCTCTCTGGTAGTATTTGCAGATGGTGGAAGGTTTACTTGTGGTTAAATCGTGAGAAAACAGACACCTGCTGCCCTCCCGACACACACCGTGGAGGAAATACCTGCAAACACACACAAAACAACACGGTGTCCTTCATCATCATCATCATCATCGTGACAGATGATCTGACAGACACATGACGAGTGAATGAAAACACTCCTTTCTTTCTGAAACACTGTTTCTCCTGCTTAATGACGGGAAATGAAGCAGAATGCAGGTGAATAATGAGCGAGGTTGCTGATGATCTGCGCTCGCACATGCGTCAGTGCAGATGCACCATTTTCTCTCATGTCAAAGTCAGCGTTCAACATCAACGGCCGCGTTGAACACAGCGATGCTGTAATGCGGGTATACAGACGCGTCGGTGGTTCTCTTTACCTGCACGTCACTTGTTTCGTTGACATGTTTTATCCTGGTCACGAATGGAAGATTTTTTTTCACTCTCAAACGCTTCTGTCTCCACGGTTTTGTGCAACCTGAAAATATTACCGGCTACATCACGCCGCCGCCGGTCGTTGATTCCGCCTTCCTGTTATGCCAATCAGCGCGACTCGCTTCCTCAAGTCGGTTCTTTCGAACAGATCTCCAGTTAATTCTCCAAATCAAATTAAACTGACCAATGTTTTTTTTATACATACAGAAAACACAGGAATACAAGTGAAATGTTTATTATGTGAAAGAAAAAATATCTGAACATTAAACTGATGTAAATAGTAATAAATATTACAAATTATTTTATTAATATTGAATTAATATTAAAGGAATTAATATTGGAATTAATATCCAGCGTAATATATATGTAACTATGAAAGAAGACTACACATGTATAACAACACCCAGCCATTTCTTATATTTGCGATATTTTTAAAAGGTATTTATTTGCAAATGTAAAACTAGCTCCTTGGCAAAACTCTTAAATGACTGTTCATGAAGTTTATTTTTTTATTTTTTTTATTTGGGAAACCAAATTAAGATGTTCTGAAAATAATTCCCAGGAAATGTTTTAACTGATTCGCTTTAAAGATCCGACTCGAAAGAACAATTCGCGAATCACAAATCGTCTGTTTCGTGTCCATGAAGAACAGTTTGGATGAGCAGCTTTCATAACAGGCATTTAAAATAAATACTTAAGGTATTTTTACCATTCTAAAGGTATACTCCAAGTACATTTCACATAACTAGAAAAACTGTAATCTAGAGAACTAGACAACGAGCACTCAATACATTATAGCGTGCAATTAAGTGCCTGGAGTTTAGTGATCGCCATTTTACTAATCTATTTCTTTATTTCATTGTTACAGGTTTTATATGTATGGCTCATAGACCGTATTACTGTAGGATCAGGGCTGTTACGCCCTCTGGTGGCCCAGTGTTGAATACAATGACGTCATCTGAAGACTGTGAGAAAACGAAACTGGTCTGAGACCAGATATTTACAGTCTATGGTCTGAGATCAGCTTCATCGGAGTCTAGAAGAGATACAGCTGCAGATACTCGCATCACAATAGCACTTTTTGTGACAGTTTACAACACTAACTAGTATTTTTACATTACTGTGAGGGTTAGGGTAGAGTTAATTATTAATAAAATACAATTTAATGGGTAATTTAATCAATATTATAAATAATTATCGTTATAACTACTGCTTTTACATTACTGTGAGGGTTGGGTTACCCCAGACGTTAATAAAATACATCTAATGGGTAATTAAATAATAGTCTAAATATTTATCGTTAACTTCCGGCCGCGGCTGTATCTCTTCTAGCAGCAAGAGAGCTCCACAGGTGAACGCAAATGGAGGAAACCGTCATCAAGTACATACATTGTGGAAGAAGCATTTACAGTTTCTCGTGTCCGAACGGCGGATATTCTGAGAGACCTGGAGGAGCCGCTCGTCAGTGTCCGATCTGTCTTCAGATTCTCACTTTCGGGCTTTTAGACGCCCCGGTGTGTGTTCCCTGTCCGCTTAGGAATGGACACCAAGTTTCCTGCGCGTTTCTGATAGGATCTGCGCACGGGCCCTCACATCTGGGGTGAGCTCTTTAGTTTCATTGTCAAATATTTTTTAGAATTATTTTTTCCTGATTTGTTTTTCAAGTAAATGCTGTTCTTTTGAACATTCTGTGTTGTTTATGCACACGGACTTTTAATTGTCAATCAGCCAGCCAAAGCGCTTCCGGCGAACTGCCACTCCCATACAAAATTCACTGCATTTAAGATCTCTGATTTCTTTATGATCTTCAGTGCCTGAGTGATTTAGGATTTATAGTGTGTCTCAGAATGTACAAGAAGAACTAAATTAAATTACAGTGTTCCACATCATGTCTTTATAATATGGAAGTTTATTTTACAGCAGTAATTTCAGCATTAATGATATTCAGACATGTATATTGATCATATTATAATGACTTATGAAATATGACCTGACACTGAAGACTGGAGAAATGAGGCAGAGCATTCTGTCTTCAGCCACAGAAATAAAGTGCAGCTTTACTCTATAGTATATTATAGATAACTGTTTAATTGTTCATTCATGCTAGAAACATGCTAGCAACTGGCCAAATCATGCACATTTATACTATAAACATGCTAGCAACATGCTAATTCATAATAGAATCATGTTAACAACATGGTAAATCATTTTAGAAACTATCAACTTGCTAAATCATGTTAATCCATACTAGAAATATGTTAGCAACTTGCTAATTCATGCTAGATTCATGGTAATAACATGTTAATCCATGCTAGCATCATGCTAAAACATGTTAATTCATGCTAGAAACATGCTAGCAACTTGATACATCATGCTAATTCATACTAGATTCATGGTAATAACATAACATGTTAATTCATGCTAGAAACATGCTAACAACTTGATACATCATGCTAATTCATACTGAAACATGCTAGCAACTTGCCAATTCATACTAGATTCATGGTAATAACAACATGTTATTTCAAGCTAGCATCATGCTAAAAACATGATAATTCATATTAGTAACATGCTAGCAACATGCTAATTCATGCTAAATTCATGGTAATAACATGTTAATTCATGCTAGCATCATGCTAAAACATGCTAATTCCCAATAGAATCATGATAACAACATGCTAATTAATGCTAGAAATATGCTGGCAACTTGGTAATTTGTGCTAGAATCATGTTAAGAACATGCTAATTCATACTAGAATCATGCTAACAACATGCTCACTTATATTAGAAACATGCTAATTCATACTAGATTCACATATTAATTCATGCTTTGCTAATTCATGGTAACATCATGCAAACATTATGCTAATTCATACTAGAATCATGATAAAAACAAAGTCATGCTAGAAACAGGCTAGCGGCTTGTTAATTCATACCAGAAACATGCTTATTCATACTAGATTCATGGTATCAACATACTAATTTACTAGAATCATGTTAGAAACATGCTAATAATATGCTAGTTCATAGTAGAACCATGCTACCAACATTAAGAACATTCTAATTCATACTAGAATCATGCTAACATCATGTTAATTCATGCTAGAAACATCCTAGAAAGTTGTTAATTCATACTAGAATCATGTTCAAAACATGCTAATTCATACTAGATTCATGTTAACATGCTAATTCATACTAGAGTTGTGCTAACATGCTAATTTATACTAAAACTTGCTAGCAACATGCTAATTCATGCTAACATGCTAAAAGCATGCTAGGAACATACTAATTCATATAAGAATCATGCTACTAGCATGCTAATTTATACTAGATTCATGTTAACATGCTAATTTATACTAAAAACATGCTAACAACATGCAAATCTACGCTAAAAGCATGCCAACAACATGCTTATTCACACTAGAAACTTGCTAGCAGTTCATGTTAATGTAATTTCATGCTAAGAACATGGTAAGTGATGCTTAAAAACATGCCTTCAAACTTTTGCCCTCAAACGCTAATGTCTAGTGTAGATTATTGATGGTTTGTGCTGTTTGTCTGCAGAGAGTGGCAGGACTCAGAGATCCATGTGGGCCTGTCAGATTCAGCAGGTCAGTAATTGCCCTTTTCAGTAATACTGATCAAACTTTCAGCATGTTTTGTCATTGCTCTGTTGTTCTGGCAGGTCTGGTCTACAACTACACACTGTCCGGGGTCCAGCGGGATGATCGCGGCTGGGAACAGTGTGTGTGTGTGCAGCTCGTCCCTCCGTCGAGACCTGAGCTCCGGGAATTATGGGATACACACCTCCAGCTGTTTGCCCTGCTGCCAGAATGGGCTTCAGAGCGGTACGGAGGGGTCTCTAATATCAGTAATTATTATGTTTAACAATAATAATCATACAGTTATTCATCAGGGTATACTGTAATGAGCTGCTGCTGTCTGAGTGATTACACTTACAAATGATTGGTACAAATTATAAATAATAATAATAATAATATTAATAGGGCGACACGCTGGCTCAGTGGTTAGCACTGTGGCCTTGACAGCAAGAAGGTCTCTGGTTCAAGTCCCGGCTGGGTCAGTTGGTGTTTCTGTGTGGAGTTTGCATGCGCTATAGGGGAATTGATCAACTAAATTGACCGTAGTGTATGAGTGTGACCGAGTATGTATGGATGTTTCCTAGTACTGGGTTGCAGCTGGAAGGGCATCCACTGTGTAAAACATATGCTGGAATAGTTGGTGGTTCATTCCGCTGTGGCACCCTTTGATGAATAAGGGACTGAGCTGAAGCAAAATGAATGTATAATACTACAACTACTAATAATACTACTAATAATAAATTATTTTTTAAATGTTGGTTAAGGGATATGAATATAACCAGAAATAAAAATGGCCAAATTTTATTGTTATTAGCATAAAATCTAATATTGGTTTAATTTAGTATTTAATGTATAGTGAAATGTTATATATAACTATATTATATAAACTTTTATACTGTTGCTTTTAATTAATATTTTGATTTTGAACATTACTGTTATTTTCAGTGAGCATTGATTTATTTTTTATACATTTATTATTATTATTATTCCTTAATTTAATGTGTTAAATTAAGTTTTTTTACTGTGTAACTTTAAAGTCGTTTTTATTCTTTCGTTAGTTTAATGCATCAATTTAAACTAAATTAAAATGAGAAATGTCAGAAATTTGGCAACTGAATTATCTTTTGGTAAAGTGTTTTATTCAAGCGTCCATTTCAGCTTAAATAACTTTAATATAGTTTAAATTAACTGTAATATTTTTATGCCAATTTATTGTGTTTTAGTCAGTTTTTAGCATTAATTTAGTCTTGTATTTTTTAGTATTATTTGTTTTCATGCATCAGCTTAAACAAATGAAAAAGGTCAGCGGAAAATCTTTTATTTTAAATATTTTTGATATTTATATATATATATATATATATATATATATATATATATATATATATATATATATATATATATATATATATATA